CCACTTGTAGCTGGGTAGGTCGGCGCCGTTTCCTGCATTTGGCTTTACTTTATCTTTGTCTTTCTCGTCCTCTTCCTCAGAGTCAGACTGTACGTGCAAAACAAGGAACAAGTCAGCACAATCTAACGGAGTCGCATTACCCCCCGCTATGTTGTGGGTCAAATTAACCCGTGTGTTAACGTATCCTTAACTAACGTATCGCACAATCTGTAAAAATCAACTGAATTCAAAAAAACAAAAAAACTGCTTATTCAAGGAATAAAACCTGGGAGATATCACCACAATGTCTGATATGTGAGGATACTAATTGGGCAGAGCATTCTTTGGAAATAAGTCTTTATGCTTTAATGGCAAGTGGATGTGCATGTTCATATCCTCACCCCCTTATCTTTGTCTCCTTTGTCCACTGGCTTCTCTCCCTTCTCGGTTTCCTTCTCCTTTGTCACGTCTTTGTTCTTCTGCAAGTCATGTGCACGGTGGTGAAACTCATCAAGGGAGAATTGGAGCGAAATTCGCATGACCAAAGAGGACAGGAAAAATCGCGGTACCTTGTCGAGTTCCATCTGAAGTTTCTCTGCTTCCTCATCGGTCAGCTCCTGAATCCTGGGGGCGTCCTGGCTTTTCCTCTTGCGCTCTTCCTCCTCGGCTAGCTGGGCGGCCCGTTTGGCTTTCTCCTTCTTTTCCTTCTCCTGCTTCTTCTGCTTTTCCCGCTGGGCTTCCTTTGCCATCTTGCTGTGGTGGGCGAACACATCCTTGACAAGCTATGAACACACACACACACACACACACACACACACACACACACACAGTTACAAGATGCAGATGCGTTAGCAACACATCAGACAGCCATTGTGAACCATTCTCACCTTTTCTGCGGCACCTGCATCACCGCCGGTGAAAAAGTCAGTCTTGCGCCGCAGGAAACTGAAAAATGTGTTTACTAACTGGAGACAAAAGAAGACATTGTTAAAACGATTGTGACTTGACGTTAAGCATTTACTCCCCTCCAGAACTTTCATAAGCTTAACAACTGACAGATCTGTAATATCGAGACGAACAAAATGGCTGACAAGTGTTTAATACCAGGCACGTTAAATTGATTTTCATTCTCAATTACACAAAGAAAACATATTAAACCACTTTATTAAATAAGCTACACATGACATTAGTGCAAACGGTTTCATGAAATATACTGTCGTAATGACAACAAAAAATGTGCTTCTAAAGGCGGTGTGCGACGCCTAGCTACCGGCCGCCCGCATTAGCTTCACCGTTAGCCAGAGTCACAAAGCTTCCAATTCAATACCTCGTGCACGCCGCCTTCGTGCTGCTGCGCCATAACCATCAGCATCCCGTCATACTTGTCCTCGTCGTCGCCCATAATTCTTCAAAATGGAACAGCGTGGGGAAAACTCAAAGCTGGATGCCTCAACTGCAAAGCAGCAGCAAACGAGAGAGGCCCGGTTGTGTTGCGCGACTCGCTTCCTGGAGACAAGGCCCGCCTCTTAGGCGGAAACCCAATCAGAGGAAGAGGTTTTCGTGGAAAGCGGAGACGACCAATAGAGCGAGGGCTTGGGTTTGTTACGGAAGTGACGTCAGGGCAGGGTGGATCTTTCTAGAGAAATCCAAGCGGAGGAAAAATGGACGCTTTGCAAGACGTAGATTCCCGGTATCTTAAAAGGAAAGTGAAGGGATGTACCCTCGATGTCCACCCAACAGAGAAAGCCATCGTGGTCCAGTATGAAGTAGAGGCGACGATACTCGGAGAGCAGGGCGATGCCATGGTCGGAGGTCGTAAAGAGTGTCAGAAAATTATTCGCCTGAAAAGCCTGAATCCGAACACCGATACCTCGGCGTTGGCTCGGAAGGTGGTGGAAGAATGTCATTTGATTCACCCGTCGAAGCTTAATGAGGTCGAGCAACTGTTGTTCTACCTTCAGACCCGCAGAGCGTCAAATGACGACCGGGAAAAAAAACAGAGCTCCCCCGGAGACTTTGCACCTTACGCTGGCGTCGAGCTCAACGAGGAGGTGAGCATCAACAACATCGATGAGTATTTAGAGCTGCTGTACGAGGACATGCAGGAAAAGATCAGGGGGGCCACGCTGATCTTCCAACTGGCCCGCAACCCAGACAACTTGGAGGAACTCAAACAGAACGAGATGGCTTTGGCCGCACTGGCTCGGGTTCTGAGGGAGGACTGGAAGCAAAGCGTGGACCTGGCAACCACCATCATTTGCATTTTCTTCTGCTTCTCTAGTTTTTCACAGTTTCATGGACTGGTCACACATTTCAAGATTGGGGCCCTGTGTATGAGCATCATTGAACACGAGCTCAAGAGGTACGACCTGTGGCAAGACGAGCTCCAAAGGAAGAGGAAGGCCTACGAGGAATTCTCGGAGAACCCGAGTCTGAGAAAGGAGCACGAGAAGTCCCTAAAAAAGTATCAAAGCCTTCTCGCCAAGCAGGAGCAGCTTCTCAGAGTTTCCCTTTGTCTGTTGTTGAACCTCGCCGAGGACACGCACACAGAACTCAAGATGAGGAACAAGAACATAGTTAGCATGCTTGTGAAGATTCTGGACAGGAAGGATGAAGAGCTTCTTTTGGTCGTCGTCTCCTTCCTCAAGAAGCTTTCCATCTTCTTGGAAAACAAGAATGACATGGCCGAAGTGCTTGCCGTCGAGAAGCTGGCCCCGCTGCTTCCATGTGAGCACGAAGACCTGCTGAGCACCACCTTACGCCTGCTGCTCAACCTTTCTTTTGACAGCACTCTGCGCAGCCAAATGGTCCAGGCCGGACTCATCGCCAAACTCTCCTCGCTGCTGGCCGACGAGGCCCAGCGACAGCTCGCCATGTGCATCCTCTACCACATCAGCATGGAGGACAGATTCAAGTCGGCGTTTTCCACCACAGACTGCATCCCGCAGCTCATGAAGATGATTTACGACTTTGGAGATCAAAAGATGGACTTTGAACTCGTCTCGCTGTGCATCAACCTGGCGGCGAACAAGCTCAACGCCCAAGTCATGTGCGAGGGCAATGGTCTGAAGATGCTGATGAAGCGCTCGGTGAAACTGAAAGACGTTCTGCTGATGAAGATGATCAGGAATATTTCCCAGCACGCTGGCCCCACCAAGAGCTTGTTCTTGGACCACGTCGGAGACTTGGCGGCTCAGATCAACGTGGAAAAAGCCGAAGAATATGTCATTGAGTGCCTCGGAACGCTTGCAAATCTAACCATTCCCGACCTGGACTGGGCACTGGTTCTCAAAGAGTACCACTTGGTGCCCTACCTGAAAGAGCGACTCAAACCAGGTGCCGCTGAGGACGATTTAATTCTGGAGGTGGTCATCTTGATTGGCACCGTCTCCATGGACGACTCCTGTGCAGCCATGCTGGCCAAGTCGGGCATCATTCCCGCTCTCATCGAGCTGCTCAATGCCCAGCAGGAGGATGATGAGTTCGTCTGCCAAATTGTCTACGTTTTCTATCAAATGGTCTTCCACAAAGCCACCCGAGACGTCATCATCAAAGACACGCAGGCCCCCACCTACCTGATCGACCTGATGCACGACAGCAACGCGGAGATCCGCAAAGTCTGCGACAACACGCTGGACATCATTGCCGAGTACGATGACGAGTGGGGCAAGCGGATACAGAATGAAAAGTTCCGCTGGTACAATTGCCAGTGGCTCGAGATGGTGGAGAACCGGCAGCTGGATGAGACCGGAGAGTCCTTACTCTACGGGGACGACGGAGACCCCTTCATCGAGAACAGAGACATTCTGGAGAGACCTGATTTCTTATACAGCGCCGATGGGATCCTCTCAACAGACGGCGCCATCAGCCCCGAGTTCTACGCCAACTTCAAGAACGGAGAGCTGGGCCCCTCCTACCCGGGAAGCGTTTCCGACGACTTTGCCACGTCGGGTCACGGTCCCGCAGATCGTCCGGTCAGCGCTTACGGCTTTCGGCCAGATGAACAGCTTTTCAACTACGCCGCCTCCTCCCAGTTGACGTGGAACCTTGCCAACGTCAATAGCGATGCAGCGATTTAGGGTGGCGGTCTGCGGAGAAATAGTCAAATCCCGTCACCGGTCTCCAAGCCGTCGAGTCGAAACCATTTCAAATGTTTAACGCGGTCAATGTTTGGAACGCGGTGAAGTGTCGAGGAAATTAAGCAACGCCAAGCTACACAAAACACCTGGCGAGTTGACGTGGCCGATGTCTCCGGTAGATGCGCGCGCTCTAGTTCCTCGTCTGTCGTATAGCATCTGAAATCGGTGGCGATGCGGCTTCAGTCTTGCGGGTTCATAGAAAACTCACCATTGGAATATTTGCACTTTTGTGTCCAACCTCAGTCTCAGTTTGTCAATGTCGTTTACGAAAATATCGTGGTGGGCTTTCTGTACTTGGTCGTCCATCATTAGCTCGTATTTATTCTCTCACCTGTACATTAGCATGCCGGATGCCTTTCGTCGTGACTCAATAGTGAGCCCATTTAAGAAAATAATAATCTAAGTGTGTTTCTAATTCCCATTGTAATATTTTTATGATGCATGCAGTTTGACGTTTTACCCAAGGTAGATACCACGTTGAAGATGTACAAATAACTACACAAGCTGTTTCTTTTTTTTTTTTGTAATTATGTGATGTAATTGTAATAATGTGGCCACTCACAAAACAGAAGACGTGCTCAGGCATTTTAAAATACGGGCGTTTGACTCTAGAAAATATCAAACATTGCTATGACATGTAACCTGACAGCATAGGTCTAGAGTGGGTTTTTTGTTGTTTTTTTTTTTGTTTTTAAACAATAAGACATCAAGATGACTAAATACAAGTAGACAAAAAGACAAGATATGTAGCCACTGGATTTATTTCCAAACCACTTAATTATGACGTTTAAAAAACAAACAGCAGTTATAAAACATCGTGTGATCTGCATATATATATATATATATATATATATATATATACACATACACACATGGGCGTGTTATATATATATATATATATATATATCATTGATTGAAAGCAAAACCCGAGGCACACAAGTCCAAAGTAAGCACCAGATAAGAGCGCGCACAGACGCAGGTGGATGACTTCCCCTAACTTTTCACAAGCCATTCTCGTGAGAAACGAACCGTGACGAGTTACGTTTGCATGTTTAGAACAGCGTTGTTAATTCACGGGGCCACAAATCCACCTGGAAAAGCTTGCTTCATTTAAACTTGTGAGGATGATTAGCATGCAGCGGGCAACTCCCTTCATCGCGATACATTCGCCACGTGAATGTAGCAGCCACAAGACGAGACGTAAAATAGATGGAGGGCAGAATGGATGTTGGAAAAAAATACGGTGAGCTGCTGGCAATGTGGCGTTCCAATTACAAGAATAAATCAGGCGATTAAATCTAAAAGCGGGGAGCCCTGAGTTGACATGTCGTCTGCACCCAATTCTGGCTCCTTGAATGAGTCGCGGGGGAACGTGTATGGGCGGTCCTCGGTTCACGACGGTGCAGAGTTGAAAGGTCGCAAATGGCGCACCATGAGCTTGTTTGTGTGGCGGCGTGAGAATAATGGTCAGTGACCACATCTGATTGTTTGATATTTCACGACCTCCAAACTGTTTTTCCTCAAATACTGAATGTAATGACTTGGACTACGGCGACTTACGGGCAAATTCGGATGTCACCGCATCAGTGGAACTCGCTCGTGAATCGAGGACCCCCTGTAATTTGTGGACAGATTCATGTTCTAACCGATGTGCGAATAAGCGGGACGCCCGAGGAGTTGGTCTCGGTGTGGGAGGGCGTGTAGCTTGTTGACGTCGAGCTGGACGTGCGACCTGCGCAAACACAACACAAGGTTACGGACAGGGGATGTCGTGCTCACCGTCTTGCCGGTTCACAGGGCCCGGCACCAAGAGATTATGTTTTACTGCTCGGCAAATGTAGATGATGGCTTTCGTTGCCTGACGACGCCAGGTTCCAACGAGGCAAAATGTGCGCTGAGCAATGTCAATAAGGATTCTAATTGGAGTTCTAAGAGCATGGATTTCATTTTCAAAAAAAATGAACTCAGATAATAAATAACAGACAATTTTCACCTTCAGTGTTCCTCCAAATGTCGCGGGCACACTTGTCAGAGGAGGTCAATTCTGATATTTGGATGTTGGGATTGGATTTGTAGTCGTCTTTGAATGGAGGGGGAGAGAAGACAATTGTAAGGTAGGAAAGTCATTCGATTATCACCTTGAGCAGCCATTACCAAAATGCTTTTGCTTGACGACACACCAGAGTGCAGGTCACGGAACAACTTCAATCGGTACGAGTGGAACTTACTGTTGTTGCTGAACGCAAAAGAGGCGCTCTCCCTCATGGTCTCGTTGCCGCTGTCCGACAGCGTCCTCTCCCGGCGCGAGGCCACCGGACGTTTCTTCTTCTTGCTCCGGCGCGTGCTGATGCGAATGATGCCGCGCACCAGACGACACTCGGCCTCCTGCTCATCCATCTGGTGCTCCTCGGCCAGCGAGTTGATGAGCTGGTTGATGGCCTTGCTCTTGCGCAGGAACACCGAGTCGGTGGTGCAGCGGGCCAACTCCTCGATCTGGTACTCTGTGTAGAGCTCTAGCAGCTTCTTGGTGATCAGCGAGTCCACGTTCTCCTCGCCGTCCTCCCCGTCATCCAGCCGTATGACCTCGTCCAAAGACGGGTGGCAGGGCTGCATTTGAGGCACGTAGGTCATAGAGTCGTCATCGATATAATGCCTCGGGCTGTCCACTTTGACTCCGGCGATGCGGACGTCCCCCAGCCAGTCGGCATCATCTTCCTCCTCCTCTTGGCGGTCTGCCGGATTCTCTGGGCGGAGGCTCACTTTTTCCGGCTCGTCCGGGACGCTCTCGATGGGCGCCAGACACGGGGCTCGCAGGCACACTTTGTACAGGCCGCACGTCAGGACGCTGCACATTAAAGTCCTGCAGGCCCTCGGAGAAGCGCAGGGATTGCAGGTTTGCGTGGCAGGCGGGAGTTCAGCTGACGAAGGCAGGAAGGTGTCACTCTCCTTCCCGTTGGAGTCTTTCGGAGGGGATTCCGGCTCTGGCTCGGAGGGGTCCACGCAGCGCTCCTTGTAGGACGAAGACCCCCGGTGACTGCTTTGGCTCGGTCCTCGATTGCAGCTGCCAGGCCTTGGGCTTTCTCTCGCGCTGCCTGCACTACCTACGGACATGGCTTATGGACTCCGGGGTCTGGACACAAATACAGAGAGGTTAGTTACATTTTATGGAAAATTGCTTTTGATTGCCTTGTATGGTGAACCGCAGTTCATCGTTGGGAATAAATTCCAGATCTCAAAAACCCACAACAAAGAGAGACCAGGGATGAGCTGATCACATTGTTTTGAGTGACTTGAGATTGAGTATCTGCCAAGATGGATATCTTGGCAATTAATTCAGAAGAAAAAAAAAAAGATTGCGCACCAAATCCAAACATCGCCGAACATATAGTGGTGAAGCACACAATAATAATCTGACCCAAAGGGTAAAACTAGTCTTAAAAAAATGTTTTTATGTATTTTTTTCTTAGTTGTCTTGATCCAATCCGATGATCAGAAGTCAGGGACAATCAGATAATTCAATAATTTATGCTTTAATTAAAAAAAACACGTCAACACGTAAAAGTATTTGAAGACAAAAAAACGTTTTTTTTTTGTAAACTGTATTACTGAATGTGTATCTGATGTGTAATTTTTGAATCTTGCGGGCACAATGGGGCAAATGTACATTATCCCTGACCCTACAACAAGTTTCCCCACCAGGATTTGGCAGCTAGGTCAGCAGAAGATCTGCCATTTTCAAGCAACCACGTGAAAGCACCATCACATCTTAGCCAAAAGGTAAGGTGAGCTGCTATCGGCGACTGCGTAATGAAGTGCTGCTTCCACAAGTGAAAATGCAATCTCTCAACTCTTGCCAATTTTTACAGGCTCTCGTTTTACGGGGGCGTGCTTATTTTTATGAGAGCCAGCACTTCTTCGTTTGACGAATTTGGTTGATCGCTTGTGGCTATTTTTGTCATTTTCACTACATTTCCTCAATGGGGAACACAGACAACCAATCATTACCATTATACTAGCAAGGCTAACCGGTGCAGAAAATGGATGCATAGAATGTATATACTTTTGTTTTCGTTTTTAATGGGAACATGTAGGAGAAAAGCGTCATGGCTGACGTTATGTTGTTTTTTAAGACATGACTAATCAATCAACACAGTTCTTTACGTCAACAGAACGGATCGATTGTTTCGCCCGCAACGAGTTATTTCTTACTAAATGAGCAAATACGCATGTTCGTAAGAGTTTACTATATTTGTAGTAACCGAGGGAGGAAAAAACTCAATAGGCCACATTCCCGTCGGCGTATTATAATAAATGTCACTTCCACGGGGGCGACGTCAGTCTTTTTCCTCCATTACAGCACTGACGAGTATCTCAGTAAATACGACTTACAATTACAGTTCCTCCACGTAGCAATTCGTAAACGATCGCTGCACTCTTCCCCTTTCATTCACCATGTCTTATTAATGCATCTCGAGACGACAAACTTTGTTGTGGTCGTCCTTCGGGAAGTAAGTTTGTGGACAGTTCGACAGTGCACCTGAGCGTCAAGGTGGGAAGTAGAAACAGGTAATGGGGTAGGACTTCCGGGACTTCGTGGGGTTCAAAATTAATTGTGGATAAGACTCGCGGTGACTCACGTCATCGCGTAATGGCCCGGCAATGATGATAGAATATCTGAAATCGGTTAAACTTATTTGTATTCGCTGAGGAACACAACCAATCACAGAGTTGTCTTCGGCGGTTTGATTTTATTTTGGTACTTCTACCAGCGAAATTCATTGGTGGCAACTGCTAACTTGATGTACAGGCATGTAGCAGGAAGCGGATTTTTTTCAGATTTTTCGTTATGCCCCGTTCTTGTTTAAAGGTATTGCTACAAAAATAATAATATACATAATATTGTTAATTTACAGTTATTTTTCAACGGGGGCACTTCAATAACAGCCCAAGTATAAAAGGCTTTTATTTCGAAGTTGGCAATCCGGAAATGTTGTTTCTTCTGCGTGACAGGCATGCAGCATGCACTGATGAGTAAACATTAAAGCAGTTTAATTCATTCAGGACGAAAGCCAAAGACTTCGGTGAGAGATGTCATTCTCGTTGGTTTGCGCTCCTTTCCGGTGCTTCGATTTTGTAATATAGGTTGATTTGTGTGAGCGATTAATGGCTAACATGCTAAGGATGCTCGGTGGGGAACCCTTTCAACGGACGCCAATTTTGCATTTGAATCAAAGGGGACGTATATAACTACCAGTCCGCTATGGAAAATAACGAATGTAAATCCGCGGACGGCGTTTTCGTCTTCTTTGTAGCTGGCTATTCATAGTGCCTCGTGTGAGCGTGACTATTGATCCCAAACGTGATGACGCCACTGGTTCGTTCGGCAAAGTCGTGTTAAGAGTAGCAGAGCGCGTCCTGTCATGAATAAAGGTGACTACCAGCAAATTGACCCGAGGACACCTGGGACTCCCACGCCCACCTCGTCGGGTCACCCCCCCCAACCCCGACCCCATTCCCAACCTCAACCCCAGAACCACGGGGAGAACTTCGGCAGCGAACCCCTCAGAAAACCTCGGAGGAGGTGGGAGGTCTTACCTGGAAATAACCGCTTCTTCTGCGATGGACGTCTCATAACGGCCAGTCAGAGCGGTATGCTGCCCCTAACCCTGGGCCTCATCCTTGTCACCAGTGGATTATTCTTCATATTCGAGTGAGTTCATGGCTGTCTTATGTTTTTGTATTGTGCTTCGTATACCTCACATAGCAAACCAGGCTGTTTCTCTTGTATTCTAGCTGTCCTTTCCTGGTCAAACACCTGACATGCTACATACCCGCCGTGGGAGGAGTCCTCTTTGTATTTGTGCTGGTCACGCTGCTTCAGACCACCTTTTCAGACCCCGGCATCCTGCCTCGAGCGACGACGGACGAGGCGATTGACATCGAGAAGCAGATCGGTACCCATATTCTCAGTTTTTTGCGGAAACACGTAATGAAATCCTCCAAGATGCTTTGAGATGGCACTCAAGCCTTGCCTGAGAGAAACATGGTGGTTTGGCATTCGTCCGTTTTGCTTAATGCAAAATGCCAACGATGGGCTAACAAAAACTGTGTCAGGTGTCATAATAAGCAACAAATGTTTGAATGCCAACAGTGGTGCAAGACACGTAAACACTTAACAATACTCACAGGCATACATTCTTTATCCTCTGCGTGAGGAGCTGAGAATGGCTTCGTGTACAGTTTATCCATACATCAGTGTTATACTTCCCCGACGGGACACACACCAATATTGATTGAATCTTAGAAAAAAATGTGGCCTAAACTTTTTTTTTTTCTTCCCAGACAACACCGGCAGCTCTAGCTACCGACCCCCGCCGCGCACGAAGGAGGTGCTCATCAACCAGCAGGTGGTCAAGCTCAAGTACTGCTTTACCTGCAAGATGTTCCGTCCTCCGCGCACTTCCCACTGCGGCCTGTGCGACAACTGCGTGGGTGAGCTTTTCCTCACTCGACGGGAGATGTGCGGCATTATTTTTGCCTCAGGTTTCAAATGACAATTACTTTTTTTCCTTCAAAAATATGTTCCAAAGACTTCCAATTTTATATTGAATAACTCTTGTAACTGTCTGTACTGTACTTTGTGTTTGGTTTGTCCTTCAGAAAGATTTGATCATCACTGCCCTTGGGTGGGCAACTGCGTGGGCAAACGCAACTACCGTTTCTTCTATGCCTTCATCGTGTCACTCTCTTTTCTGACGGCGTTCATCTTTGGGTGTGTGGCTATACATCTGGCAATGCGTAAGCGAAATAAAGGATGTCAGCGATAGGGATCGGAAGTAGTGATGGGACCATTGATGTCTTTTCCTTTCAGGGACTCAAGATGAGAAAAGCCTGGTTCTGGTCCTCCAAGAGAGTCCTGGCAGATATCCTTTACCTTTTGGAAATGACATTTGTAGTCAGTCATCTCCACTTTAACCTGCATTTGGTCTTCTTGACTCGACTATGCACCGCCGTGGAGCTGGTGATTTGTTTCTTCTCAGTCTGGTGCATCTTGGGTCTCTCAGGCTTCCATACGTACCTCATCGCAACCAACCTTACCACAAATGAAGACGTGAGTAACACTTTCGCCTTATTGCGATCCTGTATTCAATGAGATCTGTCCAGTCATCTATTTGAAAACCTTAAAATGTCATTGAAATATCCGCCCTCACTTTTCCCATCAATGGTACCATCAATGAACAAATATGAAAAATCCAAACTTGCCCATGAACAATTGTGTTTGTTTCAATGGTAAATAAGCAATCAAAAAAAGTATTTTCTATCATTTTGAATGAGACATTTTCATTACAGAGCAATTTTGTGTGTGTGTGTGAGTGTGTAGGTTTGTCTTTTTGGGTGAATTCAAGGAACACAACAATTTAGTTTTTTACCCAACATGAGTTGAAAATAAAGAACAGATTGGCACAAAATGTTCCTTGGATGCCTTAGGGGTTAATAAAAGGGCTAATGGGTGTTTTTCCATACGCAGATTAAAGGTACTTGGTCAGGGAAGAGCGGTGCACAGGACCACACTAACCCCTACAGTCACAGAAACCTGTTCATCAACTGTTGCTCTGTACTCTGCGGACCCATGCCACCCAGGTAAGACTCATTTCATTGTCACGTATTTACGGGAACATGTCTGGTCACTTTAAAACATTTTTTTCTTCCGCAGTTTGATCAACAGACGAGGCCTCCTCCCCCCAAATGAACACCTTCAGGCAGATGCAGACATCGAACTGCCTGCCACAGCCGACTCAAGCCGGATAAATGTGGTAGGTTGGCTTTCCTTTGGGAAGCTTTTTTTTTTTTTAAATATATTTTTTTGCGGGGGGGCTTCCTTGACACACTGGAATGACATCTAGAGTGTATGATTTAATCTAACTGTGTGTGCCATATGCAACATAAAGCTGATGAATGATTGTTGGGTGTTTTCATGCAGCGGATGTGCACATTTGTTTGACGGTACATTAGAAACAGGCTGTGGGGTAGGTAATCCATTTAATCCGATTACGTCACAGCTCTTAATGGTAACATTTAGCCCCCCCGTTGTTTATTTTTACAGTTGATACAGAGACTAACTAGTTGTATACGAGCAATTAAAAAGTAGTTTTTATATGTACCCCACCTTTTGTGGTGTGTCCTCAGCCCAAGCATGAAACCAAAGGTCTGCCGGAGTCCAGCATTCACACACCTGTGCTGTCTACTCAGTGTCCTCAGGGGAAGTCACAGTTGGCCAGAGGACCGGCGGCGAATGCTGAGCCCACGTCGGACATCTCCTCAAACTGGGAAGCGCACCGGAGCGCCGGTCCACCGCCTAGCGATGCTGCTCATGTGCTCCCTGCCGAGACAAAAGCCAAGAAAACAAAAAAGCGCATGGCCAAAGTTGCCTCTGATGTCCAGGCTTCACGCCACGGCCAGAAGGAGGAGCCATAAAAGTGCCGGTTCCTTACCCCTTTCACCCCGATGGCACTTATTTTATATATTTTGATCAACCTTTTCAGGGAAAGTTTGGGAAAGAATTTGTTATTGTAGATTTACCATTTTTATTGGTGAAATGATGCACTAAAAACTTGGATCCATGTGCTGATTCTTTTCTAGATCTGTTCGGACTGTTGAAACTGGATAAAGGTTTGATTTGTGTCAATGTTAAACACCAATACGCATCTTGTTTTGCCCTCATATTGAGCTTGTATCCATTAATATAGTGTAGTTGTCCACTGGAATCATGTTTACTCTCAATGAAGACGACCTAATCTCTCTTTTTGGCCAATTTGCACCAAGCCGGCTCTCAAGTCATATATGGAAGAACATACTGTATGTCATGTTTATCCACATTGTAATCCCCAAGGCAATAGCCCTAAAGATGCAACAAATAATATCCACCTGGACTCCGTTTAGAGGGAGAAGCATGTTGTGCTGAATGAAAATGTGAAGAATATAAGAACAATCAAACGCTATGGTAATGGACCGTTTCTCTTTTGTTGCTGCTACAGTCTAGCTTTTGGCCACTAGATGGAAGTGAAAGCTTTTAAAATTAATAGGGGGGAAAACACGGAAGCCCAGGAAGGCTTTTGTAGATTTGCTATGAGAACGATTGTTTCGTGGTGTGAGGTTCAACAACGATAAGTTTAAATATTTTGCGTTGTATTTTTTTTTTTACATTTTGGCACTGACTTACTGAAACGACCATGACGGCTCACCGGTTTTCTGGGAGGTCACGTGACGTTCACAAGTTGAGCCATTTTCAGTCGACAGTTTGAGTGGCAAAATGGCAGCCATCTGGAGAAAAACGGTGAATTTTGTCGCTTAATGTTCCGTCAACGAAATATTAATCAGAATGCCGTGTTTAGACTAGTGGCGCCGCTGAAATTATACTGTCAAGAAAATTATTGACCCGACTTCCTCATTAAAGTGGCTCCAAAATGTACCGAAATTTCATATGCGATGGCGATCTTAAAAGCCTAAATTTTCAGGACTAATGTTTAGGAACGAATTTTTGACTAAACGAAAATATAAACGAAGCATTTGTTTTTGCACAATTTTACAAGAACTGAACCAAAATTTAAAATTTTCGTATGCCCTGCTAGCTTACTGCTAACAATGTAAAAATGCCATTGACATGCTAACATTTAGTGTCATCGTCTTAGAACACAAAATGGTGGACCAACAGAGAGTTGCAATGCTCAGTAGTACATATTTTATCCTGTGTGAAAAAAGACTGATATTGCAATTATTGAGTGACTGAATAGTGATAATGTGACTCATTTGTCTGACTTTATTATATTGCCCTCAGGTGGTGAGGGTGGGTACAGCAGAAGGACCAGCACAATGAATTGGATTTCAGTACAAAATCATTGATGCACACAGTTTAGTCAGAGATTTCCTCTTATGCAGGTTTAGTGCTCCAACTCCGCCACAGTTTTACGTATGTATCGTAACATACGCACCAGCTAAAGTGCTCGTGAAAGCAGCAAAAGGATGGATGATAAGAAACATTGCCACCAGCTACTCACACAGGCTGTTTTTTCTTATTCTTGTATAAATAACCGCTTGCTAACCCCGTGTGGGAGTTGGGGGCAACTTGGAGATGGTGCCTGTATAGATGTGGTATGCACTTGGTAACATGAATGTAAACTGTATGTGTGTGTGGCTGTGATAAGATTTAATAAAATGATTATTCTCTCAAAATACACTGGGATGTAGGAAGGAGCAAATAATAGTCCATGAGGCATTGTGATAGCGGCACGCACTCACTCTGTTGCTGCGCGTGCAGGCGTGTGTGTGTGTGTGTGTGTGTGTGTGTGCGTGTGTGTGTGCGTGTGTGTGTGTGTGTGTGTGTGAGAGAGTGTGGGGGCGGCGGTGATGATGATTCAAGTCAGATTTCTCACAGGAACAGACACTTCACTGGAAGCAGAGGCACATCGCAGTTGGCCAGTGCAAAGAAATCTTCTAACTTTTTTATTATTATTAAGTAGCCGCGGATTGAGTCGAAACATTAACAGCGGATATTTAATTTCGTTTTTATTTCATTTTTCTGGAGGAGATACAACATGTCCCGGGTGGCCAACCTGTCCAAACTACGGCAGGAGAGGATGAGGGAGATCAACCTGAGGGTGAGTTACCATCACGAGGTTCTGTTTAAAAAAACAACAACAACCACAACAGCAACGAACAAAGGCAACTTTATGATACATGAATACCAAGTGCATGAATTTTTCTGTGTGTGTGTGTTACTTCCCTATTCTTGACTGCCACTATGGTTTCCTGATTGTGACACGCATGCAGGGGCCTGCTCACACAGGCCTGCACCCATCATGCCTATCTAGTCATACTGCACCGAGTAATGATACCCGGGGTCCGTGGGTGTCGAGGTGTGTGTTTGCTTATACGCAGTGTGTGCTCTTGCTGAGTAGTCGTTGCCATAGAAATGGCCATTCGTGTATGTGGTATCGCTGCTCTGTGTGAAAATCTCCAGGGCCTCTGAAAGGTAGCAAAAATATGTCGGTGCAGGTTTGAGGAATTTGGATTCTGATTGGGGGGGGGCGTAAAAAAAAGTTCATTGATTTATTTATTCTATCGTTCTATTGTTCATTCTGCTGCAGCTAACCTTGAGTTAAGAATGCTCATGTCGCTTAGCATAACGCCTACACACGCACACAAAATATTAAGTCCCAGTGTTGTAAACTCTCGATAAAACACATCTGCATCACAGTCCAATCATTTGTGTCTGCCTAAAATGTCTGCATTTCAGCCAACAAGAACTCCACTTAGACCTCGAGAAACATACAAAAGCTTGTCACGATCTGTGTTTACAAAATGTGAGGCTTTTGAAAAATAAAACAGCTGGTCAAGCACAGTATGTGCATGCAAATTTCTTTGTGTGCATTCAAAATAAGCAAAGAGGAAAAAGCAATCTGCCATGTGTGCACCGTACTAAGGATAATGATGCGAGTTGGCAGAACTCAAATTTTTTGGCGGAGGTTTGACTTAAATACTAGAATTCTATATAAAGTTGAGTAGAGTAAAGTAACACTATTCCACATGTTTTGACTACTCTAGCCACCTTTGGTACATCGTCCAGCCTCCTCCCACATCCCTAATGAAAAAAAGTGCTGTTAAAAAAATAAATTCATAAAAAATTCAAACTCTCTGGAGCGTTTTATACCAACTAAATTTCTATTATGTATTCACACATTGATGAAGTGACGGTGGGTGTACGTTTGTGTCTAAAATTACACTACCCGAGGTGGCAAACAGGGCCCCGTTGTTAATCATCAAACTGGGTTAGTGGACCGCTTACCTGAAAGTGGACCGCTTGACACACATAAAGTGCTTGGAATCCACCAAACTCTGACCATGAGCGTTTCCAGTGTGAGGAGCAAATCTTGGCAGGTTCGGATCCCAGAACATTGGCGCCTCTTGAAAAGCTCGGAAATCTTTGCCCGTGACAAAATGTTTCACCAGTGGACACAAATTTGGATGGACATGTCTATTTTAATATATATTAAAAAAAAAAAAAAAAAAAAAAAGTCTCAAGGCCCCATGCCTGGTATGTGGTATCGCTGCTCTGTGTGAAAATCTCCAGGGCCTCTGAAAGGTAGCAAAAATATGTCGGTGCAGGTTTGAGGAATTTGGATTCTGATTGGGGGGGGGCGTAAAAAAAAGTTCATTGATTTATTTATTCTATCGTTCTATTGTTCATTCTGCTGCAGCTAACCTTGAGTTAAGAATGCTCATGTCGCTTAGCATAACGCCTACACACGCACACAAAATATTAAGTCCCAGTGTTGTAAACTCTCGATAAAACACATCTGCATCACAGTCCAATCATTTGTGTCTGCCTAAAATGTCTGCATTTCAGCCAACAAGAACTCCACTTAGACCTCGAGAAACATACAAAAGCTTGTCACGATCTGTGTTTACAAAATGTGAGGCTTTTGAAAAATAAAACAGCTGGTCAAGCACAGTATGTGCATGCAAATTTCTTTGTGTGCATTCAAAATAAGCAAAGAGGAAAAAGCAATCTGCCATGTGTGCACCGTACTAAGGATAATGATGCGAGTTGGCAGAACTCAAATTTTTTGGCGGAGGTTTGACTTAAATACTAGAATTCTATATAAAGTTGAGTAGAGTAAAGTAACACTATTCCACATGTTTTGACTACTCTAGCCACCTTTGGTACATCGTCCAGCCTCCTCCCACATCCCTAATGAAAAAAAGTGCTGTTAAAAAAATAAATTCATAAAAAATTCAAACTCTCTGGAGCGTTTTATACCAACTAAATTTCTATTATGTATTCACACATTGATGAAGTGACGGTGGGTGTACGTTTGTGTCTAAAATTACACTACCCGAGGTGGCAAACAGGGCCCCGTTGTTAATCATCAAACTGGGTTAGTGGACCGCTTACCTGAAAGTGGACCGCTTGACACACATAAAGTGCTTGGAATCCACCAAACTCTGACCATGAGCGTTTCCAGTGTGAGGAGCAAATCTTGGCAGGTTCGGATCCCAGAACATTGGCGCCTCTTGAAAAGCTCGGAAATCTTTGCCCGTGACAAAATGTTTCACCAGTGGACACAAATTTGGATGGACATGTCTATTTTAATATATATTAAAAAAAAAAAAAAAAAAAAACGTCTCAAGGACCCATGCCTGAACTTGAACAGCAAGTTGGCCATTTTGGTTTGAAGCAGCCATTTTAGGGCGAATTCCACAGAATTCATCCAAATGAGCCCGGGTAGCTTCCGACCAGTGTTTCTCAACCTTTACTCAGCCAAAGCACGTATTTTAACATCAAATCTCACCACACACCACCAAATAAAAATGTCATAAAAAGTGTCTGGTGCCTCCACGGACGGGTCAATTATGTAGCGCCTGCCAGCGAATAGAAGAGCATTTATTGATGTAACTGTCGCTTTAAAGTATTTTGTTTGCCTCAAAATGTGCCTGCAATCTGCTCACTCTGACTTCTGCTTTTACAGTGTGACCATCATGAGATTGAAACACGCATCCGAACTGAGGAAATCCATGCATAATTGTAGAAAACCCCTTGAGAATAAAGAGACTATTAGCCAATCTTTTAACTGTGCAGACATGAATAGTGTATTTGTCATGATACATTTCAGTTTACGTAATCCCATTTACTGACTCCTTTTTCCCCACATCTCCCCAGAATAAAGAGCGTGAGCGCATGAGGGAGCGAGAGAAGGCGGCTCGGGAGAGGGAGGCCCGCTACAACAACGGCCACCTGTTCACCTCCCTCACAGTGTCGGGAACCACACTTTGCTCAGCCTGCAATAAAAGCATCACGGCCAAGGAGGCCCTCTGCTGTCCCAGTAAGTCGCAGCCAAAACAAAGTCCATCTTTTTAACATAGAAAATCAGTCCATAACAATCAGTCCAAGCAGAACTGTGATGTTTGGAAAAAAAAGATTTACGTCTTATTTTACACACCCCCACCCCCAGCATGCAATGTGACCATCCATAACCGCTGCAGAGACGCTTTGCCCAACTGCTCCAAAGTCAAACAGCGGGTAAGACGCCATTTTGTAATTTGTACTGAGGCATTTTATCTTGGAACTTTGCTGAATGTGTGGCTTTCTTTGACAATTCTAATGGTGATTTACATTTTTGTCATATACAGCAGCAGAAGACAGCCCTCATGCGTAATAACGCCTCTTTGCAGAATGTCGCGCTGCGCACCAGAAGTGAGACACTTATTGCCATTCTTCATCCTACCTTAATGAATTGTTGTTGTTATTATCATTGTTCTTATTATTTATTTATGAGATTTTTAAAACTACGTTTTGGCTCATCTTTAATGTATAGATCCAGTAATGCGCGAGCGTCCCACGTCGGCCATCTACCCTTCCGAAAGCCTCCGGCATTCCCTTCTCGGATCTCGTCGAGGACGTTCTGGCCTCGCACTATCCAAAAGTGTCTCCACGAACAACATTGCGGGGTGAGCAAGTTATTTGCCACAGTTGATTTTTTTTTTTTTTTTAAATCAGACAGGTGGAAAGCAATTGCTGTTATTTAAATTTTTTTTTTTTAAGTTCTTAAAGTTTGTAAACTATTTAAAATGTCTGTTCTTTTTAACAATAAAACAGTAATTAAAACCAATCAATTAAATTTAAAAAATGCTTCATGGATGTGTACAATTTTATTTTACCATATTATTATGCTACAAGTAACTAAACCAATTTAATCAAAATAACGACTGCAAAATAAAACAGTTGAATGAACCGGTTTTATGAAATAAAATGTAATTTATGCAAGTAATCAGGGGTTGTCAAACTTTTCACACCGAGTACCACCTCAAAAAAATACTTGGCAGTCCCAAGTGTTCATCGAAAACAATAAAGGTATATTGAATCTAATTGTAATCCACTGTAACATTCTGCACAGGTAGAACATTACACTGCGCTTGAATATAGAAATAGTAAAACATAATAATGATTCAAATAAAATGTATGAAAACTGTTCCTAAAGAAGTGTGTAAACAAATCGTTCAAAAAGATTAAACGCGACAATATAGAATTGAACTGCACTAAACAAGTGCATTATACTGGATTAACAAAAAATATGTATTTTGCAGAACAAAATATACACAGCGTGAATATTTATTATTTGTTTCTCACATACCCCACTCAATACTAGAAGCTCAATGTGCTGAATGAAAGAACACCAAGTGCAATGAAAGATCGGAAATGGAGTGTTCGAATGTATCTGCGGCAGGAACCTGAACGACGACTCCCCTCTAGGCCTGCGCCGTATCCTGTCCCAGTCCACGGACTCCCTCAGCTTCAGGAACAGGGCCATGTCGGTGGAGTCCCTCAACGACGACGGTACACATGGTCTACGGTGAGGACCGCCACTGAACCTCGACCGTTGTAAGTTGATGTTCTCGTTAAAGGGGACTACTACACTTCCGTCCTGGAGGAGATGGAGCTGGAGGGCGAGGACTTCAAGGCGGACTCGTGGAGCATGGCCGTAGACATGGATTACCTCCACGCGCATAGCAAAAATGTCATCAAGAGGCAGGACGTCATTTACGGTGAAGACCTCTCACTCCGCCCATCTGCGGATGAATAAAGAGACCACAACACGCAATCATATGCCATTTTATGTCTCCACCCAGAGTTGATCCAGACCGAGGTGCACCATATGCGCACGCTGCGCATCATGGAACGGGTCTTCCGGCAGGGCCTGCTGGAGGAGCTACAGCTGGACCCGAGCACCTTGCACGCCTTGTTCCCCTGTCTGGATCAGCTGATCAGCATCCACTCGCACTTCCTGGTGCAGCTGCTGCTGCGCCGCAACGCCAGCCTGCAGCCTGAGTCCGACTGCAACTTCACCATACACCGCCTGGGCGACATACTTTTGGAGCAGGTGAGCACCGTACACTTTTACCAAGTGTTTTATGCATATTCCAGTCATAGTGGGCTGCCACCCGTGGTCTGCTTCGGTTTGGAAAAATGGCTCCTTGTGAGGTACAGTTATTCACATCCCAGAAGTAAGAAATATTTTCTCTGTTTCCAGTTTTCCGGCCAGAGTGCAGATGACATGCAGAAAACGTACGCAGAGTTCTGCAGTCGCCACATGAAGGCAGTCAAGTTATACAAGTCCCTGCTGGCCAGAGACAAGAGGTTTCAGTGCTTCATTCGGGTGAGAGGGGGGAAAAAAAGGGATCAACACCCCCCCAAAAAAAGATAATGTGAGTGGATAGTGAGTTTGTGTACATATGTCTGCAGCGTGTGAGTAGAGGACCCTGGCTGCGTTGCCATGGCATCCAGGAATGCATCTTGTTGGTGACACAGCGCATATCCAAGTATCCTGTCCTCATTCAACGTATTCTGGACAACACCGTTGGTGAATTGCCCCACTTTGATGACACTATCAGCACAATTACCAGATGACATCCACGACTCCATGGGATTGCATTTATTTTGTCTCACAGATGATGATGAGGAAGCATCCTCCATAGCCCAAGCTCTATGCATGGTCAGAGATCTTCTCAATTCAATAGATCAACAGGTATTGTCACTTTTTTTGAAAAAAGACTCACAAACCGTTTTTTGATTGTGATGTGAGTGATTTCGTGTCCTGTCTGACAGATGGAGGAGCTGGAGAAGACGCAGCGAATGCAGGAGATCCAGGCCAAGCTGGACCAGCGGGCCGAGACCCGGGTGAGGGACGGCGGACTTTTTAGGCCCGCCGAGCTGCTCCGCCGCAAACTCGTCTATGAGGGAACACTGATGTGGAAAACCCCAGGATCCCGACTCAAAGGTGCAAAAAATATTTAGAGCCACAGTGAAATTGATCTGTCCATTTTATATCGGCTGCGGGTGTCCTGGAATCAGTACCACCTGGTCTAAAGAATTGCATTAACGGGCTCCCCGACCACTCACGGTGGTCACCACGTTCCAATTCTTTCGTTGGAGCCAAAAAAGTGAAATACAGACATTCATAATGTCGATATCATATCAAATCCACCATGAGCCGAGCTTTTCTTTACCTTTTCTTGTTTTCACTGGGAATACAGAAATAAAACACAATTCAATTCATCTGTTGTACCGTCTAGTCAACGTCACAACCATAACGTCATTCTTAGAGTAGTCAAGTTGACTTGAAAGCAGACACTAATTTTACAGAGCAGGTTCTATAAAGCGCCGCAATGTGACCGAATTGCTCTTCCTGTCCCTCTCAACTCTATGTCTGTCTTCAAATGATGAGTAGTTCTTCATTCTAGTTTTATGTCACAGTGATTAACTTTTCTTCACCGCTACAATTGTCAAGCTGACTCTACAGCTTGCAAAACAAGACACTTGTACTTCCCTGGCACCCACTCATTATCTCGCTCTATATTTACACACATACAGTACTATTTGATACAAGTCTTTTCAAAGGCTCACCTCACCCCACCCCTCTAATCGCGCTGTCAAAATGAAGTGCCCTCCCTTAGAACCCGATGCGACTGAGCTTTGAGGGGATCATTCGTACCCTCTACGCCCATCTTGGTCCTGGCCTATGTTGTTCTGGCCTTATGCTCTCTTGGGAGGCAGCCTCGGGAGGTGCTGCAGACTCATTAGATCTCAATGTACAAGTTTTTGCCATGTCAAAGCACCCCCCCCATGTGAAATAATGCCAAGTCACTTAAACTGCAAATGTCTTTAAAAACTTTATTATTAAACTGCACAGGCCTGTTGTAAACTGCATTTTAACATTGTTAATTGTCACTGACTAAATGTAAAACTCGGTTCCATCTGTGTAGCAGTAGAACTGGATACAATAGGATTTGATCGAGTGGGAGGATGTTAACGGCAGAGGGGTCTTGACGAGGAGAGGGCTGAAAACAGAGCCTTGAGGAACACCAGATTTGACTGAAGAGGGCTAGGAGATGGAGATTTTGAATTTGACAGAGTGTGACTGACCAGGGAGACTTGACCCAGGGTAGATGATTGCTGAAAAACCAATGGAACCATAGCAGAGAGAGAAAAGTAAAACGTTTTCAGAGCAATTCTGTCTGAAATTAATAAAGCATTCAGATACTTACTCAATTGTACCAAGCTGCCTAGCCCATTCTCCTTTGCGGTGAGTTCAGTTTAGTTTTCGAGTTCCTCTTTGCCCTTTTTGTGGTGGTATCACAAAAAAATACAAAAGGTCTATTTTTGCTTAGATGTCCAGGTCTTACTGATGGCGGACATCCTGGTCTTTCTTCAGGAGAAAGATCAGAGGTACATCTTTCCATGCTTGGTAAGCTTCACACAGACGTAGTTAGGATGTAAGGATCGACAGTATAACAGAGGTATAGCGATAACACTTGTCTGTCTCCAGGACAAGCCTCCTGTACTGTCCCTGCAGAACCTCATTGTGAGGGACATTGCTAACCAGGAGCGGGGCATGTTCCTCATCAGCGACTGCTCACCGCCGGAGATGTACGAGGTGCACGCTGCCTCCAGAGAGGACAAGAACGCGTGGATACGGCAAATCCAGCGCACCGTTAGCAAGTTGGGGGAGAGACCGAATACAGACCACCGCACATGAATAATTACCATACGATGTTTGTTTATCCGTGTTTGTTTGTTGTTTGCGCTCAGATGTCCATCACGGGAAGAGTTCCCCCTCATAGAGACAGAGCACAAGGCCCATCTGAGGAGACTCAAAGGTCTGCTTAACCCTAAATGAGTACCAATCAACATGCGGATTCGTTGATTGGTTGGTTGATTTTTGCACGTTTTCAGCGGACCTTCAACAGAAGGATCGGGAGATGCTGGAGCTCCTGCAGGAGAGGGTGACCCTGTTCTGCGAGCTGGCCCAGGTGACCACTTGCCAGGACGACCTGGAGCCTCCCGTCACCCGCTACCTCTTCCGGGCAGACACCCCCCAAGCACCGCGGGCGGAGAAGTTCCTGCTGGATGCCACAGCCGAGGGTAAGACAAAAAATATGACTACATTACTCCATCGCTAGTGGTGGCACTAGTGTGATTGGTGATGTTTCCTTGCAGTGGACCAACTGAGCGAGCTCCTCCTGGGCTCCAGCATTGATGTCCCGCTCTTGTGCCATCATACTCACATGGACATGACGGACGCCAGTAATTTAATTTGACTTTTAAATCGTTCAACTATTTTTTTTCTTCTTTTAATGCAATGCTTTTTCTTCCGTGTAGATGATCAGGATCTTCTCATCAATGGAGCTAATGAGTTGTCAACAACAAAGGTGTGTTTCAGTTTAAGAGACGCTACAATATTAGGTACACGCTAAATATGTTCTATTGTGTTGTGTTGGACAGGAAGTCTGTCAGAGGCTGATGAATCTCAGCGTATACCTCCATGCACTACAGGTGAGTTGCATGGATCACCCACCACTTCCCTTCACAATAAGAATAAGGAAATGATAATGGGGTCAATTGATTTGAAGACTCAACAGCTACTAGTGGCATCACATTGTTGTTGTTGTTTTTTTTTCTTATTTAAAAGGATGAAAAACCTCTGAAAGGAAAAAACAAAAAAAAACGTGTTTTTTCACATACTCGATGTAAATTTCTGATTTCGACTCCCATTTATGACTTAAGAAAAAAAAAGAAAAGTGGATTACGACCCATAATGCGTGTGGCCTGCAGGCTGCTGTCATCAAGCAAGACTCCATCCTAGAGCTGCTCCTGCAGCAGGAGGACGCAGCATCGCCGGCGTCGGCGGGTTCCTGGCGGCAGAACCGGGAGGCCGCCACTGGCGCTACCATCGGCGAGCTCGCCCTGCTGCAGAGACAGCACAGCCTGCTGCAGGAGGAGCTGCTGAGGCTGCGCGACGCCGAGACTCGCTTCAAAGACAGCGAGAAGGCTCGGGCCAAGCTGGAGAAGCAGGTTCGACATATGAAGGGCTGCGGCGACCCGTCGTCCTCGCAGGAGCACGTTGTGGCACCCTCGCAAGTAAGAAAAACAGCGGGGGCCGCGTTAACATTTTAAAACCGAAAGATGTCATTCTTAGTTGAGGTGAAAAAAAGCGAGAATTCATTTTAATCATAAAATATTTCGTTCTTGTTTTTCAAATGTCATTATTCACCTTATAATTATTTAAAATGTTGCTCGTAAAAAGTCAAAAAGTTAACATTTCTTTGTACGAGTTCATTTTAATCCTGCAATATTTATTATTGTGTTTTTTATTGTATAGTTTTAAAATGGTGTATCATCAGTGGACTTATTATTATTAATTAATCAAACAAAAACTGATGAAAATCGCCCTTTATTCCCAATGAAAAACTCAACAATTCCTTCCCATTTGAAATTTTAATATTCAGCTCATTCACTTCACCTTGGGATCAATTTTCAACATTTCCCCAAATTCCACATTTTTCACAACCTTATGCACATTTTACACCAACAAAATTCCCCACTCATCTCATGAATCCATATTGTCCAATATCATTCCATATTATATTCTATGATTCCAAAGCATTCCACATCATTCAACATGCTTCCATATTTTGTCAATCAGCATTTCAGCATTCACACACAAGTTATGCTTTTTTGGGGGGGGGGGTCGAAATGTTTTTTTTTTTTTTTTACCTACAATTCATCAATTAACCGCCTATTTAATGAGATTATTTAATAAATAATAATAGTAAGAATAAAATAAATATCAACAAGTATCACATGCATTTTTGCTTTACACGCTTTATTCATACACTAATTTGATACTTGTCCAGTCCGGAAGGGAAGGTTTGAGTGCAAGTTCCCACTGGGACAACGAGGCACGCCAATCAAATGCTCCTCAGGAAGGCAGCGACGAGGAGGTCAACATGACGTCTGACGATGATGATGTTGAAGAACAAGAGGCATCTGAAAGCTCCAGAGGTTAGAACATACAGACAGTTCAATTCCCGCGGGCGAATGCATTTTGTTGTTAGGCAGCCATATTAGTCATTTTGGCCCATTTTTAGGGCGAAGTTTTACAACTTGCCAAAAAACTGATTTCAACAATTATAGTTTGAAAATCAGCCCCCGAAGCCAGTTTAACTTAGTACCGTGAAACTTGGTCAGTGCATCAGTCGTGAGCATCTGCACAAAAAAGTCTGAAAAAGCCATGCCTGAACGTGGACAGGAAGTCAGCCATTTTCATTGTAAGTTGCCATTTCGAGGTAGTGTTGCCCGTTTTTGGCGTTTTTACCCAAATATTACGCCTGATGGATTCACCTCAAAGTCATAACTACAACTACCAGCACAGATTTCGTCCATTTCCTACCAAAATGGAACTTCCAGTTTGCAGTATATCATAGTAGACAGATTGAAGATGCTAAATTGTAGAAGAAAAATGTAGTCTAGGCATAGTAGTTATTGCATGTGGCGAGGGATGGCAACAAACTTTGATGACTCACCATAAAACAGGAGCCTGATGCCTGTTAATTTCTTACTAATCGCGCTTTTTCCCCACCACAGATTTTCAAGACATTCCAGAGGAGATCTGATCTTCCGCTAACAAGCTAAGTGACCCTGGCACACTCCATCAGAAATGGCAATATGCTGCAATGTGCGCATCTACAGTATATCTTGAATCAATGACTTAATTTATTGAGCCGCTTTGCTTTCCTGTTTAAAGGCTTGTGTGGGCGTGCGCGTGCGTGCGTGCGTGTGTGTGTGTCTGTGTCATTTGCACGATTTACTTACCGAACAAAAGGGATGTAAAAAGAAAAATGTGTGTGTTATAAATACATAAAAAGATGAACTGATTAAAGATGACCTATTTAAAAGGGCATCAAATCAACTGTGTGTGTGTGTGTGTGTGTGTGTGTGTGTGTGTGTGTGTGTGTGTGTGTGTGTGTGTGTGTGTGTGTGTGTGTTTGTGTGTGTGTGTGTGTGTGTGTGCGTGTGCACAATTCTTGCAAAATTCGTCATTCAGTGCAATAGACTCCAGCTTTTCCTTTCAAAAGCCGTTTGACAATCTTCTGACTGAAAAAACGCTAGATTTGTATTTTCCAAATGTCTCTTCCGCTCTGCTCTCAGTTTTCTGCCATTCACATTTGTTACGAGGTTCCCAGGTGATGTTTCCAGTTACAAAATGATTCACATTATATGAAGCTCATACTGTATTTGTTTACTGTATAACCTGAAAGGAATGCTAACTCTTTGTCGGATCGATTGTAAACACGGACGAATGAAATAAACGGCGTCGAGCTTTAAAAACAGTTGTCAGTTTGGCGCAGTGTACAATAATGAATGGACTGTCATATTAATGTGGAATGTATTGTTTCCTCATCAGTAAACTTTTCATAGCACCAAAGTAGGATGTCAAGGTTCACGCCACAAAGAAAGAAGCACACAGACACTTATGCAGAGTCCCTCATCGTAATCCTGCAGACAATGTCAGCCAAAAGATGTTTATTAATAACCTACAGGGGCCCACAGAGGGGAATAACTGACATAGTCATACCCCCCCAAACAACCCCTTGTTGCCCCCCCCCCACCTCCGCCCCCACCTCTGTCAGTCCATATATACGCTTGTCGTTGCCACTGTACCCTCTCTCCCAGGAGACCCCCAATTATAGTCAGCCCAGGCCAGGTGATGGACTACAGTTACAAGGCAGGAATGTCCAGCCAGCGTGTCTTCTGTGCATGCCATCCGGTTGGACGTCTCTCACTCGCTCACTCACTCGTTCACTCGCTCATTCGCACTGTTACAGGCACCTCAGTGACAATGCATTTTAATGACCTGCTTTATTGCCTATCACTTCTATTCAAGCCTATTGGAAGATACACGTCACCCTTTTGATGTGTATTAGGCTCAGTTCTTGTACTATTAGCACAATAGTAAAGAAACACGAGGGGTAATGTATTGATGATTTATGATTGATTATGATGCATATTGAGAAATATATCATTCATAAAAAAAAACCCAACAAAAAAAAAAAACATTACATATTCCGGTAGTGGCGTGAGAACTGGTTGATTAAGTGAGTGAGAGGTAATACTATTCTGCTTTTATATAAAGTGTGTGTGTGTATACATATTTACATATAAATACACATCAAGTGTGTGTGTATAAAGTGGTTATGAAAATTCTGCACACCTCTGTTCAAATGCCGTTTTTTTGGTGACATATTTCTATACAGTTTCAAAACTCATATAACCGGTGATGTGACTGCAAAAATGTCAGGAAAAGCCTGCTAAAACACAGAGACTTTATTCTGGGTTCATTAGAGGCACTTAAGAAGGGTGGCAGCTGCGTACCAATTCCCATTTCGCTTGTGTTCAAATGTGATTGGTGCATCCAACACCGCCACATCTCTTGATTTTAACTGCAACTGTAACTCATGTTAACTTACGCTTTCTCAAATTTGTGCACGCCCACATGCTATCTCTCAAGTTTGTAGGCTGGTGTGGGACATGTTGTTGTTGACGTTGAGTCAGAGAGCAAGCGGCGGGGCTGCGGCATTACAGTATGTCGCAGTGCAAACTCACTGGGTGTCACACTAGATTAGCACAGACTTGTGCTCACTTGACGGCGCCAACAGCTGTGAGTCAACATACTAAACTAGTAGCATTACTCAGGATTAAGGACATACACGCACACACACACACAGTAACCTTTTCTTATTTCAAGAAGAAGAAGAAGAAGACTCAGATGGTGGGTTGGGATGAAAAATACACAGCGTGAGCGTGAGCAAATTTCAATTCAAATTATATGACCTGAGAAGACCAGGGTCTTGGATAGATTGACAAATGTGATACAGAAAATAGTTTTCAGCCCAAGGTGCAGGTTAACAACGTTTGATTCAAATAAAAAAAGTCAGATACCACATTTAACTCTTACACTTGATATTTGAAGTGAAACTTAAACGAAACCCTGATCAGACAAAAAGACTGCTGGAAAAGTGCGGAAATGTTGAATTAAAATGAACAGCAAATTAAATAAAGTTGATAAACTCGGTCACCACCAAGGACGGCTATGGATGCCAAATATGCATCGTAACCTCATGCGTGCGACAACATTTTTAAATTACTACTTTAATGAGAAGTGCAAACCGCTGGAATCATGTGCGCAAATGAAATAAAGTGAAAGGAGAAGTCCAAACGGAGGGTGCGTCTATGGGGATGATCCCAGAGTGGGGGCGTCCCCCTTCTCTGCCCCCCGTATAAAAGTCCACCCTCCATCTTGGTCAGAGTTTGGTGTCTCATCCCCGTCGCCAGGCTTGGGCATCCGCCATCCTGTCCTTCTGTCTGTCCTTCCTTTTCATCTCGTTGTCCTTTCTGCTAAAGAAAAAAAAATAACTTGAGTTAGCCAAAATGGAGGCCATCAAGAAGAAGATGCTGATGCTCAAGCTGGACAAGGAGAACGCTCTGGACCAGGCCGAGCAGGCGGAAGCCGACAAGAAAGCGGCGGAGGACAGAAGCAAACAGGTGAGCCACTCGATGTTTGAAATGTTTGGCTGACGCAGATGCGCTCAAAACCCACAAAAATGACCATCTGCGGTATTCTCCCCGCAGCACGAGGACGAGCTCCTGCAGATGCAGAAGAAGCTGAAAGGGACGGAGGACGAGCTGGACAAATACTCAGAGGCGCTCAAGGATGCTCAGGAGAAGCTTGAGGTGGCCGACAAGAAGGCCGCTGACGTGAGTGACGCTCTCGCACACAAAAACACAAGTAGTTGTTTTTCACCCAGTGAAAGCGAACCAGCATTTTCTAAACTGGTCCTATCGCTTGATAAAAGCCGCCAGTGTAAATCAAGCCTCATCAAGCCACACTGTGCATTCCATTCTCCTCATGCTCTGGATGGAGGGACCCCCACCCCCCAACACACACACGCACATACACAGCTGTCGAGGGGATTCGGGGCCCCTGCTTGGGCCATGATGTCAGCCGCTAAACCTCGACTCGTAGCTTAACAATGGCCCCACTCCTTTTTAGGCGCAAGCCTGTGTGGTAACTACGTCATAGCCTTGAATGTTAAATGAGTCCGCAGTATGCCTCTTCTGCATCCAAATACAGTGGAGATAAGAAGTTCACACGCTAGGTTTTCACAATATAAAAAAAAGAGAGAGAGAGAGAGAGAGAGAGAGAGAGAGAGAGAGAGAGAGAGAGAGACCATATTACAAAACACTCAAAAGCATATTAGAACAGCCAAATGTCATTTGTGGTCAATCAAAGGCACCTTAAATGATGGCAGTTGTGTGTTGAGGGTGCTCACACGTTCGCAACCACCTATCAGCTTTTACTTGTTGAGTTGTACGGGTTCTAGATCACACTAGCGGTGGGAAGAGTTTTGACAGCATTTATCTTGGTCTCAGAAAAACCTGGCATTTCAGCAGGGGTCAGGGACTTTTTAGATGGTTCTATCGAAAGCAAAAGTTCACTTCTAATATAATGTAGCGAGTATATTTCGTTTTTGCAAAATAAAATAAGAGTTTTCGGTGTAGGTAATGCATAAGATCATGAAAACAATAGTTATTTTTATTTATACTTAAGTCACACTATGTACATTTAGCTATTATGTTTCCAGTTTATACATGTTACATTCATTTTTGTATTTGAACTTTTTATCCATCCATCCATGATCTGATCCGCTTCTCGTCCCGAGGGTCACGGGCGTGCTGGAGCCTATGCCGGCTGTCTTCGGGCAGTAGGCAGGGTACATCCTGAACTGGATGCCACCCAGTCACGGGGCACACATAGACGAACTACCATTTGCGCTCACACGCAATTTAGAGGGTTCCGTTCACCTGCTATGAATGCTTTTGGAATGTGGGAGGAAACCACCGAGTACCCAGAGAAAACCCAGGCAGGCACGGGCGTGCGAACCGGTCGACCGCCGGGCCGCCCTGAAATAAATTTATTTCATTGTATTTATTTAGTTAGTGGAAAAGGATTTATTTTGTATTTGGTCATGGTTGTGCTTTTATAAAATATACACAATCAAGTAGAATGATGTCTAAAATAGAAATAAATGTGTTAATTGTTTGCATTTGATCTATTATTTTAATATGTAAATTTATGTCAAATTGTACTGTTACCATGATGCGGCCACTGAGCAAAATTTGTGACGCTTCATCACACAATTTTTTTCTGACTCAGCATGTACAAATTGTGTGTGTGTAGGCAGAGGCAGAGGTGGCCTCCCTGAACAGGCGCATCCAGCTGGTGGAGGAAGAATTGGACCGAGCCCAGGAGAGGCTGGCCACCGCTCTACAGAAGCTGGAGGAGGCCGAGAAGGCAGCCGACGAGAGCGAAAGGTAGTCGTCAAAAGGGGGGAAAAAATGCCCTTATAGTCTCCTTTCTAATACAGTCAACATACAAAGCTGACACAAAGCAAAAGAGAATGAAAAACTGTATCTTTAAACACCAAAATGTTCAATGGAACCATATCGCTTTGTGCAACATATAACGCAAAACATCATAGATGGTTTTATGGAAATGACCAAAGCTGTTAGGGCAGATAAGAACCTTAAACAATTTTTTACTTCCAAACTCTCCTTCTGACCTGTATACACAACGGCAAAATAGGTCGACATGGGCTATGCGTAAACCCGGTCAACTATATAACCCTAAGAACGCCAAGGTTCCACCATACGGCAACAACGTCATCCTTGTATTCCTCGTGCGCGCAGGGGCATGAAGGTGATCGAGAACAGGGCCCTGAAGGACGAGGAGAAGATGGAGCTCCAGGAGATCCAGCTGAAGGAGGCCAAGCACATCGCAGAGGACTCAGATCGCAAGTACGAGGAGGTGAGCCGGACTTCCTGCGTCGTGTCGCGGACTTGCTGTGAGGAGGCGTTAACTATGGAAGTGTCATGGTGGCGCAGGTGGCTCGTAAGCTGGTGATCGTGGAAGGTGAACTGGAGCGTACGGAGGAAAGAGCCGAGCTGGCTGAGGCGTGAGTGTCTCCGCACACATTTACTTAATGGTCAAATTCTTGTTCATTTAAGTCTCAGCATTTGTCCAATTTTTAAACTTGCTGCATTGATATCGATCAGGCGAGGTTTGCCAGTTCCCTCCCAACCTATCAAGGTCGCTAGTGAGCTCTCTACCTACCAACAAATGTATCCACCGACCGACATCGCAACATAGCGACTTATCTACCGACCGATCAAGTTAGCCACATACCTACCAAGCTACCTAGTTAGCTTGCAAGCTCCCTTTCTGTCAAGATAGCTACCTATCTCGATGTGTACCTACAATCTGCCCCTCAACCTACTTAGTTTACTTGATAGCTACTTACCTCGTGTGCTTGTTATAACACAACTACAACACACGCTCCAGGAAATGTGCCGAGCTGGAGGAGGAACTGAAGAACGTCACCAACAACCTCAAATCTCTGGAGGCGCAGGCGGAGAAGGTAAGCCAACGCAACTCGGAACATTTCACAGCATCACAACAAAGCAAAATGTGATGTGTACGGTTTTACACGCTCATTGGAGTGAATTTGTCCACGCAGTATTCACAGAAGGAGGACAAATATGAGGAGGAGATCAAGATCCTGACAGATAAACTGAAAGAGGTGTGGAAAGCTGTATTTTATTTATTTATTTTTTTTACTCTTCAAATCGCTTCAATAATTGGAAATACTGATTCGAATTTTTTTGTGTTGATCAGGCCGAGACCAGAGCAGAGTTTGCTGAGAGGTCTGTGGCCAAGCTGGAGAAGACTATCGATGATCTGGAAGGTAAGGGGGGAAAAATATAATATTATTAAGTCATTGTTCAAAAAATGATTGTTTGAAAGAATCCGTAAAGCAGTTATCATTTGTATTTTAAATAATATCAATCCAATTTTATTTTTACACGTATAATAGATAACATCTATGATCCGGAGACATGTATGATCTTATGTCGTCGTGTTTCATTTGCAGTCTACGATTATTTTGCCAATATACATCAAACGTCATCCGTACATCATGTTTTTAGACAAATAAAGCTTTGACCCTTCCCATCCCGCAGTGGCAGAAAAGCATCCCACATTGCTCATGTTGTGTTCCCTTTTTTCCCCAGATGAGCTGTATGCGCAGAAGCTCAAGTACAAAGCCATCAGCGAGGAACTGGACCACGCGCTCAATGACATGACCTCCATGTAAGACACACGGAACATTGACATTTTCACATTGTCATGGACACATTTTTTTTCTTTTAAAACTGCCCTTTGTGTTTTCTAGCTAAACACCCAGGAAGCCCTACTCTCCTCCTCAAACGTGCCCCTTCTCTTCCTCTTCCACGACATGTTTTGAGCTCTTTCTCACCTTTTTGCAAAATCCCACTAAACAGCGTTTTTCGGTCCCAGTCAAACCTTTTCTTTATCATTCTTTGTAACGATATTAAAAACAAGAGCAAGGTCTTGCTTTTCACGCTTGTACTCGTTTTTATGAGTGGAAGAATGTTGGGACTAAATCAGTTCCCAGGGTTCTTTCTATGATCTAGACGAGTGTTGATCAAACTTTGTGCCACCTCAAAAAACATTTAGCGTGGTAGGCCAAAGTGTTCATCAAGAACAAGACAAGATTTTAGTTCTTAAAAGTATATTTAGTATTATTTTAAGCCATTGTAGCGATGCACAATTTGAACAGGAAAATAAAAAAGATCTAAACAGCAGAGAGAGAGAGACAGAGATAATGGACTGTCTATTAGACCAAATAAGTGTTTAAAAACAAATGGTTCATAAAAATGGAATGAAAATGTATTAAACTTAGAAGCGAACTGTACCTCGGGAGTGATTATTTCCCATACTGTTTTTTGAGAATCACTAATCTAGATGGCATTAAAATATAGCAAAAAAAAAAAAGGGGAACGAACATGTAGTCCAAACAACACGTTTTTGCTCTGTTGGGGGCTCAGTTGTTTTCTAGTAAAATTTCATAAAGCAGATGCTAACACAGAATTAGCGTGTGGCTCAAAGACAAAACGTGACAAAGCGTACCCTTGATATGATTAGTGATAAGTGTTGTATAAAATGGCTCTTGTGGTGGCGGCCATGCGACTACAATGACAGGTGAGTTGAGGTAGGAATGTTTTTGGAATGCAAATTCATCATTGAGCTTTTCGTTGGGCACAAAATGCGTGGAAAAATGAAGGGAATGTTTTCCTTCTGCTGTTTTTTTTTTTTTTTTTGGCTAGTGTTTCCCATTATAGGAAAATAATGGTAATTATTCGGTGGTGTATTTGCATGCATACTTGTACATGGAGGTCAAGGATATGGAATCAATGCTTAAACAGTTTCCATTATCGATCTTATGCTACATCCAGAGTGAGAATGCCGCAGATCACCAAATAAAAACAGTCCGTCCTTAGTTTCACCGCTTGCTGGTGCCCGCGCGTGGCTGGCTCTATGAACTGCTACTGAGACGTCTTCGTAGCAACGACGCTGGTTTGCTCTCTGTGTCCTCCGCGTCGCTTTCACATTGTCTCTGTAAAGCATTAAAAAAAAAAAAAAATAGAGTGAACAATGACTATTACCACAGCTCAGTAGGGGACCTTCTCTGCTTCCAATGATTGTCTTCCAGTCGAGCTCAGTGCTGCCCCAAATGTTGTGGTACATTGTGGTAGCACTGGAGCAGTGCATCTCTAAATTTGGTTTAAATGTAGATATAAATTCTGAGATTTGGACGGTGCATGTTCATAAGAAGTCTTAAAAATCTGCAATGGAATGGAAAATGTGAAGCATAAATCGCAATACAGCGGAGGGACATTTTAGATTTATTATCACGTCATGGTTGCATCATGAGACTGTCATTACCTTTGGTATCTGTGTAAATGAAAACCAAGCTTTATTATGCTTTTTCTTTGATAATGCTCTTTACTGGATGTGTGGTGGACTTCATGAAGTGACTGCTCAGTGTATTGATTTTTACCTCAGGTGCATCTGAGTTGCCTTTACACAAGAGTTTTAAACGGACCAGACGGTTGCAGATCCAAACCATGTTGTAGGACATCTGGACATACCGAAAACACACTAAAATATAAAATACTACAAGAAGAGCATCACATGTGCAAAAAATATATATATGTATACACATATGATGTACCTTCCACTTCCTTCTGGCGTTGAACTTCTTGAAGTTCTTCATGTTGATGGACGATCGATTCCTGTTAGCTTTTTGTTGGCGCGTCAGGGGCTGCAACAGAAACAGGCAAGTCGGCACAAAACAAAAAACAAAACCAAAAAAAACGTTTTGACAGAGTACCTTGATCCACGGGTGAAGAAGACACTCCTTGGCTGTCAGTCTGTCACTGGAACACACATATTTGCCTTGTATTTTTATATAAATATATAAATAAATATATA